CAATAAGGAATTCTCGCATCTGCCCTTATGCAGAGAAGTGCTTTGGCTGTAAATGCATAGTACCCAGAAGTGGTATTGCTGAGTTAAAGGGTCTATGTCTTTTATAAATTGGGTATAAAATAACATTGACTCTTTGAACTACTTTAATATTCCAAAGCTATGGCATTTAGTGTCATTGTGCCACCATCATCATTATTCGGACCCATAACATTTCTGTCAGTGCCAAAGGACCTCCCACACCCACTAACCATTCACTCCATTCCCATCTCCCCTACAATGGGAACTACTAATAATCTTTCTGTCTGTAGAAGTTTGAGTATCCTGTATACTCCTATTAATGGAGTCACATAAAATGTGGCCTTATGTTCCTGGCTTCTGTCCTTAGCATACTGTTTTCCAGATTCATCCATGTTGTACTACGTGTCAGTCTTTTATTCCTTCATATGGCTGAACCATATTCTGCTCATACACTTATGGCACATTTGTTTCCACTTCAGGCTATTGTGAAAGTGATGCTGTAAACACTGTTATATTCTTTATGATTGAACATCTCTTTCTTTCCTTTACTGATGGAATAATTGACATACACTGTCATATTACTTTCAAGCATACAACATCTTGATTTGATATTTGGATGCATTACAAAGTGATCACCAAAGGAAGTCTAGTTACAATATGTCACCATAGCTAGTTCCAATTTCTCTAAGTCTCACCAACATTTTATTGCTTGTTTATTTTTCAGTTGGCCATTCTAATCTATATGCCTCCTTGGGGTCTTGATTTGCATTTCCTGGAAGACTTATGCATTGACTATCCTTTCATGTGTTTTTGGCCATCTCTGAATATTGCTTTAGAGAAATGTCAATATCATCCTTTAGCCATTTTTAAACTGGGCTTCTGTCTTGTTGAGTTATACGAGTCCTTAATATCATGGATACTACTCTCTTATCAGTCAATTGACACGTTTTCTCCCATCTTCTGAGTTGTCTTTATCTCTCTTGATAGTTGTTTTTAAATTTTTTTTAACTTTTTATTTATTTCTGAGAGAGAGCTTGAGAAAGGGAGGGTCAGAGAGAGAGGGAGACACAGAATCTGAAGCAGGCTCCAGGCTCTGAGCTAGTTGTCAGCACAGAGCCCGACGCGGGGCTTGAACCCATGAACTGTGAGATCATTACTTGAGAAAGTTGGCCGCCCAACCAACTGAGCCACCCAGGCACCCCTCTTGATAGTTGTTTTTGATGGACAAAGATTTTTAATAATGATGAAGTTCATTTTTACATATTTCTTCTTTTGTTTGTGGTTTCGTTATCCTGTCAATGAAAGCACGATCAAGTCCTAGGCCATCAACATGGACTCTTGTATTTTTTAAAGTTCATAGATTTGGAGCGCCTGGGTGTCTCAGTTGGTTAAGTGGCCGACTTCAGCTCAGGTCAATATCTTGCGGCTCATGAGTTCGAGCCCCGCGTCGGGCTCTGTGCCGGCAGCTCAGAGCCTGGAGCCCGTTTCGGATTCTGTGTCTCCCTCTCTCTCTGCCCCTTCCCTGCTCATGTTCTGTTTCTCTCTGTCAAAAATAAATAACCCTAAAATTTAAAAAAGGAACTTAAATTTAAAAAAATTAAAAAAATAAATTTCATAGATTTAGCTTTAAGATTTTTAAATTATATTTAACCCTCACCTTTCCATGCCATTATTCCCCTTGTTCCCAGTACACCCTGGATACCTTTTTCTCTCAGATCCCAATAACCCTTTGATTATGAGTTCTCTGCGCACTTGTCCCTTTATGATCTTAAACCTGGCCTTGCACTGTAACTTATAAGCAACATTTAAGTCTCTATTGGCTTTTATCCCGCTGCCTTATCCCTTGTTCTGCTCTCTCTAGACCCCACATCCAGACCATGTCATCCTAATCTCCCAGTTCCTGTGTGCTTCTCTCTTACCCCACTCCATCAGCACACATACACTGTCCTTTTGCAAGACCTAGAGGGTTAAACAATAGCCATTGCCTCATTCTGTGGAATTCTCAAGGGTAAAGATGTGCACATATATCAAGCTGACAATGATATCAAGTAGAGAAAAACCAAGAGAATATATATTTCTAGCAAACTAGCAGAGGGGTTAATGTGTAAAAATTATTTGCAGTTGGCTTTTGGGGAGTTCTAGAATATTTCTTGCCTCCTGCAGTGGCTTCTAGGTTATTGATTTTCACTGTTACTGTAGTTGCAAGGTGGTTGGTTTGCAAGGCTTCCTTGGAACTGAAGTGATTGGGTGAGGAAGGGGACAAGGCACGGTGCTACATGGCTCACTGTGGTTTGATGTGTGGACTTCATCAGCTGCTCAGCAAGGCGGAAATGACTGGCCTCTTACCAGGGTCAGACAGCTGGGTCAAGACAGCACAGAAAAGTTACATCACTGTCCCCATTATTCACCTAATCGATTCTATTCTTGGAGGAAAAACTGGATGTCTCTGCTCTTCTCCTGACATCCATTTAGTTCATATTCCTTCTGTAATCATGTAAATATATTCCTTGGGGTCTCTGTGTATTCTACACATGACCTAGATATTTGCTGGGTCTAGCTTTAACCCTCTGATATCTTGTCTTTCAGTCTGCCAGTTCCACAGCCTTGAAAAGCTAACGTTTTCCCGGGAGTTTCTGCTGATTTCCACGAGCTGACACTGTCAGGATCTCCTGTGTTGTGAACTTAGCCATCTCCATAAAATTAGACATGCTGTCTGTCAGGGAAGACTTCAAACTGAAGCCCTCAGTGAACATTCACAGAAGAATCCACTTACACAGAAAACATCTGTGACCTATGTGTATGTTGAAAGACATGGTCAGAATGACAGAAGATTCCAGTTTATACTAGGGCAAAGAAGTGGTATCCTCTTATAATAGGTGTTTTTCTTCCACAGTCTCTCCAAACTTACTGCTTATGAGGCCTCTTGGATCTCTGCCCTCTTCCTGTGCAGTGCCCTCTCCTGGCGGTTTGGCTCCCCACTCCCCACTTTACCACGTCGCCAGCCTGCACAAATAGCTTAACTTCTTCTCCATTTGGATAGGGACCAGTTGGCTCTCTCAAGTCTCTGTCCTACCTAAATACCTGAAAACAGTGTGATTTAGAGAGCAGTTGAGCTTTGCTTCAGTAGAATCCATTTTTTTCTTTCATAGTTTATTGTCAAGTTGGTTTCCGTATAACACCCAGTGCTCATTCCAGTAAATGCCCTCCTCCGTGCCCATCACCCTATCACCCCCCTTCCCCTGTCCCTCACCCCCATGTGCCCTCAGTTTATTCTCTTTATTCAAGAGTCTCTTATGGTTTGCCTCCCTCCCTCTCTCCAACTATTTTCCCCCTTCCACTCCCTCATGGTCCTCTGTTAAGTTTCTCCTGTTCCACTTATAATTGAAAGCATATGGTATCTGTCCTTCTCTGCCTGACTTATTTCACTCAGCATAACAGCCCCGAGTTCCACTCAGGTTGCTACAAATGGCCAGATTTCATTCTTTCTCATTGCCATATAGTATTCCATTATATAGATAAACCACATCTTCTTGATCCATTCATCAGATGATGGACATTTAGGCTGTTTCCATGATTTGGCTATTGTTGAGAGTGCTGATATGAACATTGGGGTACATGTGCCCCTAAGCATCAGCACTCCTGTATCCCTTGGCTACATTCCTAGCAATGCTATTGCTGGGTCACAGGGGAGTTCTATTGTTAATTTTTTGAGGAACCTCCACACTGTTTTCCAGAGGGGCTGTATCAGTTTACATTCCCACCAACAGTGTAATAGATTTCCCGTTTTTCCACATCCTTGCCAGTAGAATCCATTTTTAAAGAGTTTTACCTATTTACTGTGATCTATCATCTCTGTGTCAGTCTCTGTCTCTCTCTGTTTTTGAGTCACACCTATGGTTTTTTCAGGTACTATGGGTTCTGAGATTAGCCTGCAACTCCTATAGCTACCAGCAGATGACAAGAGATTCCTAGATTGAAAACAAAGCACTTTATTGCACACAGCCCAGCAGGCAGCATGAACATCCTGATTCCAACAGTTTTCCTTGACCCCTTGTCCAGACCTTATACCAATCATGGTTCCTCCAGGGTGCCCTGATAAGTGCCACACATGCATTGTTTGAGATACACCTGAGGAATACTGACTGTACAAAACACCAATCTTTTCCAGGGGGTTGCAAGCTCATCTGCTGTATTCTTTGACCCTAAGGAGGACTTCAGCTTTGTTTACCTGTACAGCAAATAAATCTGTCTGGTATTCTGGTGGGTGACACTGTCCCTCTCTCCCATGGTATTTTTCTAATCACACATAGGGTAACCCAGTATAGAAGAAGAGCTGTCCATGCTTCTGTCTCAGAGGCATGTACATATGTGAGAAATCCATGGTAGAACTGTGTTCCAACAATATCCAGCAGTCATTTGTGGACTATATTAGCTCTTGCCACAATTTCCTATGAATTCACCACTTGTTCAAATGCTCTGATTAATCCAACAAAGGGCTAAGATCAAATCAATGCAGTTTGTATCAAGCAACATTTGATTGAGACTACTTTCAAGAGGATACTGTGTATGAGGGTGAGGTTAACCCACGTTATTCACTTCCACTATACCTATATAGTTCCTACATTCAGCCATCATATGGAATCCCAAAGAACCATTAGGGTCCACTATAGAATGACAATTGTTTACTAAGTTAGATACTGTATTGGGGTGCCTGGGTGGCTCAGTCTGTTGGATGTCTGACTAAATTTAGCTCAGGTCATGGTCTCCTGGTTTATGGGATTGAACCCTATGCTGGGCTTTGTGCTGACAGCACAGAGCCTGCTTCATACTCTCTTTCTCTCTCTCTCTGCCACTCCCCCACTCTCTCTCTCACCAATAAATAAACATCAAGAAAATTAAAAACATAGGATGCTGCATTGAGTTTTCCAGTGAGATGAGTGAATAACCAACTACCAACTGACTCTTCTTCAAAATGATACCACCTACAGTTTTCTGCTAGGAAATATGTTCTTTATCCCGGGAAAACAGAGCCTAGATACCGTGGAGTCTCGTCTCATGATCAGAAAGGGACTGACAGTTGGAAAGCATTCAGAAACTAGTTTGTTGGTGTTCATCAGCAACCAGCTGGGATTATCCTTAAAAGCAATACAAACATGAAAGATGGAGGAGAGGAAGTAAAATGACACAAAGGTGCTCACCATGGCCAGTGTGCTCTGTGTGGCTCTAGACTCAACAGAGGATCTGGGGAAATGGTTAGCTCTGTGAATGTATTCGACCTGCTGTTTGTGCCTGTGCAGAATGAAAACCATGGAGCTGCTGGCCCAAATCATCAACCCAGTAAGTGAAATTTCAGGGAATACTATCAGTATTACATATAGTGACTCTGAGAGTGTGTCATGGTCAGATGTAGAACAGTATCCATAATCCCTGTTCTTTGTGATGTTTTGGCTGCCCGGTTTCCCTGACACAGATAACACATACATAGGAATGATAAGATTTACTATTAGATATATGATCCAGAAGAGGGAAATGGACAAGCCAATGTACTTTGGAGCTTTGACTTTAAGATCCTTCCAACAGGAGTTCATGGGGCTGATCACGATGGTCTGGAAGACACTCAAGAGGCAGGTGCTGCCAATAGACATTCCCCTGCCCACTCTCTGAACATAAAAGAGAAGCTTGCATCCAAACTCATTGAAGATATCTTTCACCTCAAAAGCTGCCAATGTCTTGGGGACACCTTTTGAGAGCATCACCAAGGAGTTGGCTATAATCAGGTGCATGAGAATCAACTCTGTGCATCTCAGCCTCCCTTTCATGTGGTAATGGAAGACATAATGGCGAAGAAGAGCGAAATTGCCCAGGATTCCAACTGTCATCTGTGATAAGAAAATGATTGCCATTGTCAAATCCCTGGAACCTATTCTATCATTCAGTATGTTTGTCTTTAAATTATGAGAACCATTCCTGTGAATAAAAAGTTTCCTTGAAGATTTTGACAAGAGTCACTTTGGTGGTTTGCTCCTTTGGAAATGTCAGAGACTTGAAGAGGCAGGAGAAGATGGAGAGAAGTACCAGGATGTTCCAAGGAAAAGTCAGCACTAAAGATATAGTAGTATATCCTGGAAGAAGCAAAGGTAAGTGGTAGCATGTGGAAAGAACACTTAATACTAATAGAACATTTTCAGAAAAGTGATATTGTTTACTCACAGTGGTAGAAACCTACAGTGTGAGTCATTACCTATGTCATGGCATAAATCACTTCTGAATATGTTACTGATTTATTTATTAAAGAAAAACTCTGAAGCTTGTCATTGCTTGTTCTGACCCAAATGGCTAGAGATGCTTAATGGCCAGTGGTGCCGTTGGACACGCCCTGCCAACACTGTGTGGGTTGAAAACAAAACTACATTCTAAATCATTGAGGAAATGTTTCAAGGAAACTCTATCAGTGTCTTGTGGATACCTTTAAGGAGAATGATCATATCTTGGATAGAAACAGGTGCTTGAGAATTAAACCTCTGGACATGAGTTTGTAATTAGGGTGAAAAGGAAGAGATAATAGTAAGGGTGAGAGAAAGTGCCCGGTTTCCCTGATGGACTTTGCTAAGTAGACCATCCCTGTTGGCAGATGCTTTGACTCCAGTCAGATCTCAATGACCTATTATCATCTTTGAGCCTGAGGAGCCTCCCTGAGACATGTGTTGTAGACTATATTGATCATATCAAATGAAACCCAAGAGTTTAACTGAAAAATAATTAATATTTATGTTGTTAAGAAGCTTCTCAGAAGAGGCTTTGGTGGCCCTGTTGGTTAAGCATCTGACACTGGTCCAGGGTATGATCCTGTGGTTCACATGTTTGAGCCCCACATTAGGCTCTATGCTGACAGCTCAGAGCCTGGAGCCTGCCTCAGATTCTGTGTCTCCATTTATCTTTGCCCCTCCCCTGTTCCTAATCTGTCCCTCACTCTCTCAAAAGTAAATAAAATGTTTTTAAAATTTTTAAAAAAGGAAGTTAGTACATTTGATTTGCATGAATCAGTGCTATCATGCAGGTTGTTCCTCTGGTATTTTGATACGTCTTCATACTGCATGTAATAGGCACTTGGATTGCATTATCTTCATTGCAAAGAAAAGTAGAACTTTGGGATACAGACGTCAGGCACTCTGTGTAAATTCACATGCAGGTTTGGGGGCAGAGGGAGGAAAGAAGCTGTCTGGGCTGTTTGCAAAGTCTGTGCTCTGACCATTGCTCCCCTACCAAACCTTGTTAGCTGTTCCTTCACATAGTTCACCTGTCTATTTAGTTTAGTTTTGAGACCTTGCTGTTTTAATTCCTATTTTTGGTAGTTTATGGTATAGTTTCATGTGTAACAAGTTTCCATTTGTATTGACAGATTTATCGTATAGGCCAACAATAAATATGAATGAGGCTTTCAAGATTGTAATAAAACACAAATCCGGTAATTTCAGTGTCATCCTAAAGAAACCTACCACTGCACTAGTAGGATTTTATCAAACAAGATTATGTGTTCTTAATTTGGCAGCAGAAAGCCTTGTTTGCTGTCCTGGTGGAGCACAGATACAGTGGACATTATTGAACAATGTGACTTTGTTCCTAAAACATGATAGACAAAACACTAGTATGTGATAAAAGTATGTGGGCCAGAAACCAAGTGATTCCTAATGTGGGTCATATACTCCTCAGTTATTAATCATTCAAGTATATCTGTTAGCTATTGGGCAGGATTTGTGCAGTGCAGTAAACCACAAGAGGCATACATGAAATAGAATCTGGCGAATGTGACACCTTATGCACAGGAGAAATTGAAATTATCTTGAAATGAGTAGTGATCCTGGGACTGAAGTTAGAATATTACTAAACCACAGAGAAAACCATATGTGCATTAGGTCCTCACAATTGTTTTCTGAATCCATAATGAGCAAGTTATCTTTACCTGAAATGCTGCTTCCCTAACAAGAAGAAGGAAATCGTTCTCCTCATAACCATTGGAGTGTGGTAAACACAGATGATTTCAGTACAGACACAGTAACTCTCTCAAGTGCATCCCAAACCCCAAACGAGAATTTCTAAACACACTTCCTTTTATTTATTTAATTTGTTTGTTTGTTTTGTGAGAGAGAGCACAAGTGGGAGAGGGAGAGAGATAAGAGATTCCCAAGAGGCTCTGTACCACCAGTGCCGCCTGTGGGGCTCTAACTTAAGAACCATAAGATCATGGGCTGAGTCCATGTTGGATGCTTAAATGACTGAGAACTCAGGGGCCCCAAACACACTTTTTAAATTATAGAAATAAAACCATGGTTTCTATACAAGGTGATGTTTTTCTGATAGTTCCATCCTGCTCTTTTTTATAAGTGCAAAAGCATTATAAGCACATGTCTCTTAATACAGAGAATGGAGCTTTGGTTCTTGTAAGGAAATCTGAAGAGCATATCAATTTGTTAACTAAAGTCTTTTAGGAGCTAAGAAAACCCATTTTATTATCACTGGCATTATTCACCAACAGTCCTCTTCAGTGAGGATATCATTCCCTTATATTAGGAGTCATCAGGGTTGGTTATGTAGAAACTAATTTGACAATAAACTATTTGTAAAAAAAAAAGGAGTCATCAGGATTGGTGTAGGGACGGACACACCCATCTCTCTTCACTTGCTCAGCTCTGAACTGAGGACTTATTCCTCCTCCTCCTCTAGTGTTGTTATTGGGTCTATTTCTACCACAAAAGAGTCCTTCTGGACACACAAGTACTTACTCAGACTTCATTTCCTTATAAACCGTCCCTCTCAGGCTGAAGTAGAAGTCCTCACTGGATGCTTTCCTGTTGTCAGGACTGTTGGCTCTGTGTGAAGGTCACAACAACCAGTGTATGTGGGAGGGCAGCAGCCAGACTCAGATAAAGGGCTGTGAACCTGTGACCTCACCTCCCTGGGAAGTACAATTCTCATGACTCCTATAGCCATAATGACAGTTCAGTGTTTCTGCTAATGATCCAAACCAATTAAAAGTTCCTTCTGAGTATCTTGGAATACACAATTGAAATGTTTGAGAGAGTGTGTGACTTTTATAATCCCTACTGCAGACAGGGTCTCAGAGGAAAGGAGGAGGTATTACTCAATTCTGACACATGGGGTCCTGGCAGCAAAGCTGATGTTTCCCAATGAGAAACAGCTTCCTTGATAAGCTGTACTCCAAATACGTATTTTTTAATGTTGAGTGCCAAAACTGAACCAATATTGAAGTACTGAAGATCAGTGGTATCAAGCTAATTGAAAATTTTTCGAATGTAATAAAAGTAAAACAAACTTTGTCATCATTCTTAACATTAGAAATTATTGGGCCCATTTGTAGAAGTAAATGCTAATAGATTTGTAATTGATGATATAGAGGGGCACCTGGGTGGCTCAGTGGGTTGAGCGTTCAGCGTCGGCTCAGTACATGATTTCATGTTTCATGGGTCCCAGCCCCGCAATTGGCTCTGTGCTGACAGCTTAGAGCCTGGAGCCTGTGTAGATTCTGTGTCTCTGCTGTTTTCTGCCCCTCCTCTGCTCACACTCTGTCTGTCTCTCTCTCTCTTCAAAATAAACATTTTAAAAAACTGTATATGGTAAAAAGTTTGATATGGATGATATAGAAATTTTTAAGAAAGTATATTTTAAGTATATCGATCCCATTTGTACTAGTAGTCTAAACAAATAGACAAAATCCATAGAAATTGATGTTGTGGAAGTATCCAACACAAATAAAAGCACCAGGATCAGATAAGAGGCAAATTGTATCCAACCTTGAAACTATTCGAAGTAGGTGAGTCTTGGAGGTGGGATGTGGAAGTAGAAGGGTCTGGTAGAGTTGGGAGTTATAAGTGCAAATTAAGGAGTTAGAAGGTGATGGGGTAGGTTCTTAGGTATGGACAGGACCTAAGGAACACAGGATGAGTTCTCAAGGCAACAGAGGTATAGAGGGGATCAGGATGGAGATTCAGGGGTTGGAGGTGTGGCCCCTTAGGAGTCACTGATTCATTTCCCCACTGGTCAATACTCTCATTTACATGGAGTCACCCATTACTCATGACGGTTTTTTCTTTGGGCCCATGATGCAAAATTCTTGATCCTGTGAGATGCCCCTACAAAATTTAATGTTATTGTTATGCCACAGGTAGACAATTGAGTGGTTAGCCCTCTATCCCACTCTCACTCCTCTATGGGACTTTGCGGTGGATGGTGTGCCTGGGGTGTGTCTGGCCCTTGTACTCGGCACTCGTTGGCAAGAGGTGACAGGCTGGACCTTTCCCCATACTTAGATCTTCAAGAATTTTCATTGTCCAAAAGTGATTCGATGAAGTTGTTCTTCTTCAGTAGACCCTCTCTGAAATGTAATACATGCTTTAGAGAAGAACTAAAACATAAAACATAATTTAAAAATTGTAAGTATTGTTTTGTTTTTCTCGTGTGAAGCCATGTGAAAGTAATCCTTGGTAACAGATTTGTGGGTATGGTCATAATTATGATTATATTTTTATTTTTGTCCTAATAAAGTAGCAGGCTCTTGGTGTTATCCATTGGTTAAATTGCCTTACATGGTAAAAGTGGTTTTGCAGATGTAATTAAGAAACTCATGATCTGAGTTTAAAACAGGGAGATGATCCTGGATTATCTGTGTGGGCCAAATTATCATATGACCCTGAAATCAGAAGTCAGGGAGAAGCAGTAGAGGAAGAGATTAGAAACAGGAGGGGGATTTATATTGCTGTTTCTGGCTGTCAGGGTGGAGGGAGCCTCAGGGTGATTTTCCATGGGAAGGACCCCAGGCAACAATGTGAATCATTGTGGAGGTTAATCTTCTTCAGAGGCTGTAGGTAAGAGCCCAGGAGAGTCAGCATCTACCTTTGGGCTTCCTCGGCTACTGACCTGTGAGAAAATCAATGAGCGGTGCTTGAAGCTGCTGATTTCATGGAAATTCATTCCAGCAACAACAGAAACCTAACAGCCACACCTCACTTTGTTGCACTTTGCATTATGGCTGCCAAAACTGTGGTTTTTTCAAAGTGAAGTTTGTGGCAACGCTGCCTCAAACAAGTCATTCAGCATCAATTTCACAGCATTTACTCCCTTTGTGTCTCCGTGTCACATTATGTGAATTATCGCAATAGTTCAGACTTTTCCTCTATCTATTCTTCTCATAGTTATCTATGTTTAGTAATCTTTGATGTCATTTTTGGAATTGTTTTGTGATATCATGAACCATGCCCTATAAGATAGCAAGTGCAATGAATGAATGGACTGCAGATGTGGTGGAAGAAGTAAGAGATTCTCAATTATATTTTGAGTCTGTCGATGGGGCTGTTGATGCAATCTGTTGATCAATCTGTTTCCTTACCTGATTTTTTTTAATGCTTATTCATTTTTGAGGGAGAGACAGAGTGCGAGTGGGGAAGGACAGAGAGGGAGGGAGACAGAATCTGAAGCAGGCTCCAGGCTCTGAGCTATCATCAGAGAGCCCAACGCGGGGCCGGAACTCAGGAACTATGATATCATGACCTGAGCCAAAGTCAGCCACTTAACTGACTGTGCCACCCAGGGTCCCCTCTCATGATCAAACTTGAGATGAGGAGGAGTTGCTCATTCTGCAGGAACAAAGAAAATGTTTTCCTGAAATAGAATCGATTCCTGGTGAAGATGCTGTGAGAATTGTAGAAATGACACCAAAAGATTTAAAAGAGTACATAGTCCTAGTTGGTAAAGCAGCAGAAGGGTTGGAGAGAACTGACTCCAGTTCTGAAAGTAGTTTTGTGGCTGAAATGCTATGAGAGCATTGCAAGATATAGAGAAATCAGTGTGAAAGGAAGCCTGAATCAATGCCGTAAACTCCACTGAAGCCTTTTTGTAAAGAAGTTGCCACCTCTATCTCACTGGGGACGAAGGAAGGAAGGAAGGAAGGGTGGGAGGGAGGGAGGGAGGGAGGAAGGAAGGAAGAAAGGAAGGAAAAGAAAGAAAAGAAAGAAATGTCCAACTCCATTCTGAGCTTCAGTAATGCCCACACTGACCAGTCAGTATCCTTCAATAAGGAGGCAAGACTGTCCACCAGCAAAAGGTTTGTGACTCACTAACTCTCAGAAAATAGAATTTTCCTGCAATTAAATGTTTTAATCATTATGCACAGTGCCATTCTAGATATAATGTAGATAAAATGCTAGTGCATACTCAATAGACTGCATTACTTGGAGAACATGACTTACGAGAATTGGGGAAGTGAAAAATTCATTTGAATTCTTTTTGAGATATCTACTTTACATTGTGGTCTGGAGCAAAATGTGCAGTATCTCCAAGGTGTGCCTGTAAATGTAGAAACATATTTTATGATAAACAATTACATCAGGTATTGATACCCAACAACTGATGCGATTTTGATGTCCAGATGTAATGACTTTCTTCATGTTTAGGTTTCTTCTGTTTTTCAATGTAGACTTGGGTATGTCTGATATTATATCAAAAATGACATAAAAATAAATACACACCTCTTAATATATTCTCTTTTGATTCAATGTGTACATAAATCTTGTTATACGGGCCTTACTTTACAGTCAAATAGTTTTTCTTGAGCATTAGTCTGTGAAGGAGATATCTTTATGCAATAGAAATAGATCTCCAGCATTTCCCCAAATACTTCAGTTTATTCCATGATGATTATCAATGAGTCATTTCATCTTAACACTCCTCTTTATGCACTTAAAAAGGTGAATGAAAAAATCTTGATACTGAATGTATCCGGCTAAGATTTGATGACCCATTTTTTTAAATTGAAAATGTTTTCACTTATAAGTGGATCAGGAGAAACTTAACAGTGGACCATGGGGGAGGAGAAGGGGAAAAATAGTTGGGGATGGGAGGGAGGCAAACCATGAGAGACTTTTGAATATTGAGAACAAACTGAGGCCTGATGGGGGTGGGGGAGAAGGGAAGGGGGGTGATGGACATGGAGGAGGGCACTTGTAGGTTTGAGCACTGGGTGTTATATGGAAACCAACTTGGCAATAAACTATGAAAGAAAAAAATTTTAATGTTTATTTATTTTTTGAAGATAAACAGAGTATGAGGCAGGGAGGCGCAGATAGAGAGGGGCACATAGAATCTTAAGCAGCCTCCAGGCCCTGAACTGTCAGCATAGAATATCACGCAGTGCTCAAACCCACGAACTGAGGTCATGTCCTGAGCTGAAGTCGGACACTTAACTTCAGAGTTACCCATGTGCCCTGTCTGTCTGTCTTTTAAATGTAGAGAACACATTGATAGTTACCAGAGGGGAGCTGCATGGGAGGCATGGGTTATAGGGCTGATGGGGATTAAAGGGTGTACTTGAGGTGCACCTGAAATTGATATCACAGTGTATGTTAACTAACTGGAATTCAAAGAAAAACAAAACAAAACAAAATACTTCTCTGTATTGTTTGGATTAAAAATCAACATACCTATAGTATTAGGAAGAAACAATAATATTTCATAATTTAGAGAAGCGGTTAAATGTTGGGTCTCCCACACATCATAGGGTATCGATAATTGGTCTGTTTGCTTTGTGCACATGAGGAAGGTCTCAGTATTTCTTGAAATGGGATGATCCCCCCACCGTTTTGGCAGGTCCCACAAGGCATGCATATTTTGGAGATTGCCCTTGCAATGACTGTAGGATGTAATATCCCACAATCTGCGGACCCTCATGCCGTACCTTTTCACTAAATGTTCACTTATCATGTTGCCCAATTTAACAGAAAATGTAAAGGAGAAAATGTATTCTAAGAGCAAATGTAAACCTACAGCAGGCTCTTTATCTAAACTCACCATCCATTACTGTTTGTCAATGACACTTAGGATCAGCATGGGGTTTCAGAAACACTATTACTTGTGCTTCCCACCTCCCTCACCTTCATTCTGTGAGCTGTTATGTCTTCAGGACTCATTTCTGGGAGTGAAGCCCAAGCTCTGGCCCTTGGGGAGGTATCAGGGGTCGGCTGTGCCTGGGTTTTGCTGTAGGATCTTGGTGCAGCCCTGTCCCCAGTGCTGTAGCAAGATGGAGATTTTTCTAGGAGGGCCATGTCTCTGAAGACAGAGAAGGAGAACTCGTCTTATCTCCTTCAAATCAGACCTGTTTGCCTTTTCTTTGAATCCCTCCCTTGGAAAAGGACATGTAAGGGTGGACTTTTCTGCATTTGAGGTGCTTCTGCCTGTGGGGAAGCAGGTGGAAGGGCATGTGTGAAAGTTGCAGGGGCTGCCATAACAAGGAGCCTACACGGAGTGGCTGAAACAATAGACATTTATTTTCTGGCAGTTCTGGAAGCTACAAGTCCAAGATTAAGGTGTCCTTAGGGCCGTGTTCCCTTTGATGATCCTCAGAGAATATTTTCAGGCCACTAGCCAGTTTCTGCCTCCTTGGATTGTGGCCACAGAAGTTCATGTGGTGTTCACCCTGTGTACATTTGTTTTTCCAAATTTACCCTTTTTTTGGTAAGGATGCCATTCATGTTGATTAGGAGACTCCCTACTCTAGATAGCATCTTAAGGAATTCCATCTGCAATGACCCTATTTCAAAAAAGGGTCATTCTGAGGTCCTGGAGGTTAAGACTTCAGCATATTCAGGTTGATGGGACACAGTGCAAACCATAAAAGAAGGGGTATCTGAGGCCATAAAAAATATATATGTACAAAATATGTTTTTTTCAGAGAGTCAGAAAGTAAGTGAAGAATTGAAGAACAAAGAGGAAACATGTCTTTCTCAGATTAATACTGACATCTATTTCAAATGCTATGTCCTTTCTTCCTCCTAAGAGGTCATGTGTTTATAACTTGGAAAGTTTTACTTCTCTCCATTCTGTCACCCCAGCCCTAGACCTGGACTCTGTGTCTCACTTCCCTCACATGCCCTCCAGCCCTCTGTCCTGGGCCCATGTTGCCTCCTGCCCAGGCTGCTTCTCTCTCTCAGGCTTTGCATCCTCTTCCACATGCCAGTGGTCTCTAGAGGTGCTACCTAGAAACTTGTAGTTGTTCTTGGTAATTGGCAAGTGAGGAGAACGTTGGCAAAAATATTCTCAGGTCCCCAACCTGTCACTGCTAGTGCTGCTCCAGGTGAAAAGCTAATTGCAGGTGTGAGGGGAGGGCAGGTCACACTGTCATAAATTCACATCTCAGGGCCCTGATGCCCTCCTTCCCACATACCCACTGCCTTACGGTCACACGGAGTCCAACAGGATGAAGTAAGTGGGTTTTCTCTGTGTTTGTCTGAGAGGTAGAAACTGTAAGGAAAGGATTGTATGAAGCGTCGAGGTAAGTGGAGGAGGCACTTGTGGGGATGAGCACTGAGTGTTATATGTAAACCAACCTGACAATAAACTATTTAAGGGGGGAAAAAATGTTTTTAAAAATATTGGAAGGAAAAACGGGGTTGGGGAAAGGGACCAGGGGAAAAAAAGGGGGTTTCCTGCATTTGAACTGGTTCAGTGCCAAAGCCACATGGGAAGGTGAAATACGTCCTGAGCCAGGAGCTGAGCTGGTAGAGAGAGATTGGGTCCTAGACCTACACCCACCCCTGCTGGCTCCTACGGCAAGTAGTGTAAAACTCACTGAGAGTGACTATGTGGTTTCACCCAAGTGGTCATGAAGTCTGATTATTTAAAGTTTTTATTTTAATTCTAGTTGGTTAATGTACAGTGTTATATTAGTTATAAGTGTACAATACAGTAATTCAACTCTTTCTCCCAAAGAATGTGATTTTAATGGACTTAAGAACTCTAGTTCTGGAGACAGTCTCCTGTTGATCCTGTGTTATGGGGACCGTAGGCATTATTGTGAGGTTTCTAAGGTGCACTCAGAACCTTGATTATAATAAAGAGTTTGATGAATCTCTAGTGTGATATGATCGTGTGTAGAAACAGTGTGTCTCAGGGGCACCTGGGTGGCTTAGTTGGAAGATCAAGGGACTCTTGATCTCGGGGTCCGAGTATGAGTCCCATGTGGTGTATAGAGATTACTTTAAAAAGTATAACTTCAGAAGTCTGGAAACATTTTGTTTGATGCAGGTGCTGGTTTAGATAGGTTTTCTCTAACTCTAGGTATTTGGAGTGTTAATACACATAAGAAGCGTGTCTGAATTAAACATGCAGAGTCTTTTTCCAGTTAATAAAAAAGGAGCACTCAATACAATAGGAAGTATCTCACAAGGTTCTTAGTGTCCAGTGTATCTTCTGATATTTCTGCTCTATTAAATATTATAAAACCAATCCAAGATTGGTTCACTTACATGTGATACAAGGTTTTTGCCTAACATTTCATTATGATGTGTCCTGTCATTTCCTTCCTTCCTTCACCTTCCTTTCTTTTCTTATTTCTTTTTTCTTTTCTTTTCTTTTCTTTTCTTTCCTTTTCTTTTCTTTCTTTTCTTTTCTTTTCTTTTCCTTCTTTTCTTTTCTTTTCTTTTCTTTTCTTCCTACTTTCCACCCTCCCTCCCTTCCTTCCTTCTTCCCTTCCTTCCCTTCCCTTCCTTTCTCGTTCTTTCCTTTCTTCTCTTCTTTATATAGGCTTCATCCTCCGCACAGAATTCCACACAAGGCTTGATCCCAGGACCAGAGATAAAGACCTGAACTGAGATCAAGAAGGAGACCCTTAACTTGCTGACCCAGTCACCCCTTGTATGTCAATATCTATCACAAATAATGCTTAAGTTTTACTAACTTTATTTGGCACAGGTTTTAAAAAATTGATACCTGTATTTTCTGAAAAATACATAAGCAGGTACCAATGTTTCTGTCCTGAGTTCCTGTGATTTAAGAGATTATACTTTTGTTCCTGGAATAAAACAAATGATTCTTTCTGTTGCCATCCTAATATGGAGCCCTTCTTGCATTAATTAAATCCAGGTTGTCATGGGGTAGGAACCTGCCCCTTTATAGTCCTACAGTGAGTGCGTCTAGTGTACTGAGATGTCTAGTGTGTTATTCACACTGTACAGTTGCTTATAAAAAGAGTGTTCATAAATACATGGAAGGACATCATTGGTAAAAATTGAATATACATACCGCCATCTATGTTGAAATGACAAGGTATAAACATAAAGCTGAATTTAGATCTGGTATATTTACAGAACACAGCTAAGTAGAGTTTTAGTAGCTCACTTATTGAATGCACTAGCTTTCTGCCCAGCCCAACCAAGTTCACATCATCTGTCTGCCCCTAATTGAGTGAATGTAAACAAAATAATTAACCTCTCTGTTCTTCTATGGTCCCTATCTTTCTCAGGAAGGCATAGTTCCTGCCTGTGTATTTAAGAGAAATAAGGTACTTCATGGGTGGTAGTTATACTAGTGTATCACACATTGCAAGTGTTGTGTACTGGTTGTGCATGGAAATCTTAGAAGGTTTTAAATGACTGAAGAACTGTAAGGAATTATTTGAAAGTTGAAAGTGTTCATAAGTGAGAATGTCAGATTTCAGCTGACTTGAGTCATGTAGCCCCTGCCTCCTTTTCCCATGCAGGATCGTCTAGCCCAGAAGACAAGTATCAGCACTGAGGACTGACAGGATGGACACCCGGGATCTGGCAATAGGAGTGATCTTCTTAGTCCAGACCGTGCTTGGAATCCTGGGGAACTTGTCTCTTCTTTACCTTTATGTCCTCCTTTCTTTGACTGGGTGTAGGCCTAGGCCCACAGATTTGATTGTCAAGAACCTGATTGTAGCCAACCTTTTGGTCCTGGTCTCTTTTGGAATACACCGTACACTGTCATCTTTTGGGTGGTATCACACCTTCGGTGATTTTGGATGTAAATTTTTCCCGTATGTTCGGAACGTGGGCAGGGGTGTGTCCATTGGCTTGACCTGCCTCTTAAGTGTCTTTCAGGCCATCATGATCAGCCCCCAGAATTCCAGGTGGGCAGCGCTTAAAGGGAAAGCTCCCAAGTGCCTTTTCCCTTCACTTGTCCTGTGCTGGATTTTGCAGTTACTGGTAAATATCATGTTTCCAATGTTTATGAGTGGCCCTTTGAACTATAAAAACACCACAATGCAGAAAAGTTTTGGATACTGTTCATCTCTTCGTCATGACAAAGCTGAGGACTCATTGTTCGCAGTGGTGTTATCATTTCCTGATATGTTATATTTAGGGCTTATGATCTGGTTCAGTGGCTCCATGGTTTACATCCTGTACAGACACAAGCAGAGGGTCCGGCACATTCATCGGACCAGCATCTCCTCCATATCATCCCCTGAGTCCATGGCCACCAAAACAATTTTCCTCCTGTTGTGTACCTTTGTCTACTTTAATACCATTTCTTCTGTCATTCATATTGTTTTGTCTGTTTTGGATCATCCCAACTGGTACCTCTTGAACACCGATTTACTGATCGCTCTGTGTTTCCCAACGGTCAGTCCCTTTCTGCTTATCAGCCGAGACTCTAGGGTATCCATGGTCTGCTTTCACTGGATAAGGAATATAAAATGCCCTCATCTTATGAGAAATGTGTAAACTGTAGGAATATTCATAATGTTTCTCCTGTTGGTAATTCATTCATACCCTCAGGGTTCGTTGTGTAACTACGAGTGGCTAGCTGAACATTGGTAACAGAAGTGTTTACATTGACTTCAAGTGAACAATAAGTAGACATCATAATAGCAAGGAAATATTATATCATTGTCTTAACAATACATTTGGATTGAAGTTTTGCTAATGGTTTCTTTGGAGGAGCCCATAAAGTATGCAATTTTAATGATCATGTCCTGAAACAATCTGGATATTATGGAGAGGTCTTTGACTATGGCACATAAGTTTGTTACAGTAAATTTCCCTGAAGGGAAGTAGGTATGGGATGAAAGGAAAAGGAGCATGGAAATGGATCAGCATGTGGCTGGTCAACACTGACTATGCAGAGAATAGTGTTGGAGGGAAAATTGAGTCAGCAGGTGAAACTTTGGAGAGCCAGTCATGCATGTTGCACATTACGTCCTTAGTAAGTGGTAAGTCAGTGATGTGAAGTATGATGTTATGGGAACATGGGACGTGAGCATGAGTATACATTTTCAGATAGAAATGGCCAGAATGGGCTGGAGTAGATAGTGGAGAGCACCGAATTGAATTTTAGCCGAATTTTTAAAGTTTTATTTTAGAGAAACAGAATAGGACCGGGATAGAGGGAAAAAGAAAGGGAAGGAAAGAATCGAGCTCTGCGCTGAATTTGGAGCCTGCTTGAGATTCTCTCTCCCTCTGCTCTTCTCCCTGACTTGTGGTATCTCTCTCTCGATCTCTCTCTCTGTCTCTCCCTCTCTCTCTCTTATTCTGTAAAAAAAAAAATACCAAAAATATTTTAAAAGTATATAAAGGCACATGACTGATCATAAGTGTGTAGCTCCATGAAAGCTCACAAAGTGATCTCAGTTCTGTACTCAGTATTTAGTTCAAATATAGAATATTGTCAGGATCAGAAGCCCCTCATGCTCCTTACCATTCCTCCTCCTCAGGGTCATAAGTGCTGTGACGTGTAACAGCATAGAGCACTTGAGGCTGTTTAGCACTGATATAAAGGAAGTAATAGAGCGTGATCTTTTTGTATTTGGCTTTTGTCATAGTTTCTGTTGTTTGTGAATTTGTTGCTGTATGTTCTTAGCCATCATTCATTGGCATCGCTGTAGAGAGGATTCTATGCATGAATAGGAAACGATATTTTCCTTTTTTTTTTACTTAAAAATTTTTTTCTTTCATAGTTTATAGTCAAGCTGGTTTCCATATAACACCCAGTGCTCATCCCAACAAGTGCCCTCCTCCTTGCCCATTTCCTCCCTTCCCCTATCCGCCCACCCCCATCAGCCCTCAGTTTGTTCTCAGTATTCAAGAGTCTCTCATGGTTTGCCTCCCTTCCTCTTCCTAACAATATTTCCCCTTCTCCTCCCTCATGGTCCTCTGTTAAATTTCTCCTGTTCCACTTATAAGTGAAAACATATTGTATCTCTCTTTCTCCGCCTCACTTATTTCACTGAGCATAACACCCTTGAGTTCTATCCATGTTGCTAAAAATGGCCAGATTTCATTCTTTCTCATTGCCATGTAGTATTCCATTGTATAGATAAACCACATCTTCTATATCCATTCATCAGATGATAGACATTTAGGCTCTTTCCATGATTTGGCTATTGTTGAAAGTGCTGCTATGAACATTGCGGTACTTGTGCCCTTATGCATCAGCACCCCTGAATCCCTTGGGTAAATTTCTAGCAGTGCTATTTCTGGGTCATATGGGAGTTCTATTGTTAATTTTTTTGAAGAACCTCCACACTGTTTTCCAGAGGGGCTGCACCAGTTTGCATTCCCACCAACAGTGTCGGAGGATGCCCGTTTATCCACATTCTCACCAGTATCTAGAGTCTCCTGATTTTAGCCACTCTGACTGGTGTGACGTGGTATCTCAGTGTGTTTTTGATTTGTATTTCCTGATGATGAGTGACTCTGAGCATCGTTTCATGTGTCTATTGGCTATCTGGATGTCATGTTTGGAGAAGTGTCTCTTCATGTCTTCTGCCCATTTCTTCACTGGATTGTTTGTTTTTCAGGTGTGGAGTTTCATGAGTTCCTTATAGATTTTGGATACTAGCCCTTTATCTGATATGTCATTTGCAACTATCTTTTCCCATTTCGTCGGTTACCTAATAGTGTCATTTATTGATTGTTTCCTCTGCCGTGCTGAAGCTTATCTTGATGATGCCCCGTAGCTTATTTTTGCTCTTGATTCCCTTGCCTTGGTGATGTGTCAAGTAAGAAATTGCTGCTGTTGAGGCCAAGGAGGTAGTTTCCTCTTTCTCCTCTAAAGTTTTGATGGCTTCCTGTCTCAGGAAAACCTGAGTTTCCTGTCTCAGTTTATTTTTATGTATGGTGTGAGGAAGGAATCTAGTTTCATTCTTCTGCATGTTGCTGCCCAGTTCTCCTAGCACCATCTGTTAAGGAGGCTGTCTTTTTTCCATTGGATACTTTCATGCTTTGTCAAAGATTAATTGGCCTTACATCTGTGGGTCCAGTTCTGAGTTCTCTATTCTATTCCATTGGTCTATGTGTCTGTTTTTGTGCCAATATCATAGTGTCTTTGATGATGACAGCTTTGTAGTAGAGGCTGAAGTCTGGGACGGTGATGCCTCCCATTTTGGTTTTCTTCTTCAATATTACTTTGGCTATTTGGGGTCTTTTGTGGTTCCATACAAATTTTAGGATAGTTTGTCCTAGTTTTGAGAAGAATGCTGGTGCAATTTTGATTGGGATTGCATTGAATGTGTAGAATGCTTTGGGTAGTAATGACATTTTAACAACATTTATTCTTCCAATCCATGAGCATGAAATGTTTTTCCATTTCTTTGTGTCTTCTTCAATTTCCTTCATAAGTTTTCTATAGTTTTTGTCATACAGATCTTTTATATCTTTGTTTAGGTTTACTCCTAGTTTTATGGCTTTTGTACAATTGTGAATGGGATCAGTTTCTTTCCTTTTTTATTTTTATTTTTTTTATTTTATTTATTTAAAAAAATTTTTTTTAATGTTTTATTTATTTCTAGGTGAGAGAGAGAGAGAGAGAGAGAGAGACAGCGTGAGCAGGGGAGGGTCAGAGAGAGAGGGAGTCACAGACTCTGAAACAGGCTTCAGGCTCTGAGCTGGCAGTCAGCACAGAGCCCGACGCGGGGCTCGAACCCACGAACCGCGAGATCATGACCTAAGCAAAAGTCGGACGCTTAACCGACTAAGCCACCCAGGCGCCCCTCCTTTTTTAAAATTTTTTTATAGTTTTTTTTTTTTTTTTTTGAGACAGAGAGAGACAGAGCATGAGTGGGGGAGGGGCAGAGAGAGAGGGAGACACAGAATCTGAACAGGCTCCAGGCTCTGAGTTGTCAGCACAGAGCCCGACCCGGGGCTTGAACCCATGAACCATGAGATCATGACTTGAGACCAGGTCGGATGCTTAACTGACTGAGCCACCCAGGCACCCCTGGGATCAATTTCTTGATTTCTCTTTCTGTTCAACCAATTTCTGTAGGTTGATTTTGTACCCTGCAACTTTGCTGAATTCATGGATCTGTTCTAGTAGGCTTCTGGTGGAGTGTGTCGGGTTTTCTATGTAGAGTATCATGTCGTCTGAGAAAAGTGAAAGTTTGACTTCTTCTTTGCCAATTCTGATGCCTTTTTTTTCCTTTTGTTGTCTGATGGCTGATGCTAGGACTTCCAGCACTATGTTAAACCACATAGTGGTGAGAGTGGACATCCCTGCCGTGTTCCTGATCTCAGGGGGCAAGGTCTCAGTTTTCCCCCGTTGTGGATGATGTTAGCTGAGGGCTTTTCATAAATGAGTTTTATGATGTTTAAGTAAGTTCCTTCTATCCCGACTTTCTCGAGGGTCTTTATTAAGAAGAGATGCTGTATTTTGTCAAATGCTTTTTCTTCATGTATTGACAGGGTCATATGGTTTTTATCTTTTTTTTTGTTAATGCGATGTATCACATTGATTGATTTGCAAATATTTAACCAGCCCTGTTATCCAGAAATGAATCCCACTTGATCATGAGGGATATTCTTTTTATGTGCTGTTGGATTCGATTTGCTCATATCTTGTTGAGGTTTTTGCCATTGTATTCATCAAGGATATTGGCTTGTAGTTTTTTTTTTGCCAGGTCTGTCTGCTTTGGGAATCAAAGTGATGGTGCTTTGGTAGAATGAGTCTGGAGGTTTTCCTTCCATTTCTACTTTTGGAATAGCTCGAGAAGAATGGGTATTAACTCTGATATAAATGTCTGGTAAAATTCCCCAGGAAGCCATCTGGCCCAGGGCTCTGATTTGTTGGGAGATTTTTGATATCTGATTCAATTTCTACACTTGTTATAGGTCTGCTCACATTTTTTGTCTCTTTCCATGTGAATTTTGGTACAGTGTTTGAGTTTAGGAGTTTGTCCATTTCTCTAAGTTGTCCAGTTTGTTGGCATACAATTTTTCATAGTATTCCCTGATAATTGCTTGTATTTCTGAGGGGTTGGTTGTAATAAGTCCATTTTCATTCATGATTTTGTCTATTTGGATGCTCTCTCTTTTCTTTTTGAGAAGCCTGGCTAGAGGTTTATCAATTTTGTTTATTTATTCAGAAAACCAACTCTTGGTTTCACTGACCTGTTCAACTCTTTTTTCAGATTCTCTATTGTTTATTTCTGTCCTGATTTTTATTTTTTTCTTCTGCTCAGTTTGGGGTGCTCTTGCTGCTTTCTTTCTAGTTCATTTAGGTGTGCTGTTAGATTTTTTATTTGTGCTTTTTCTAGTTTCTTGAAATAGGCCTGGATTACAATGTGGTTTCCTCTTAGGACTGCTTTTGATGCATCCCATAGAATTTGAATTGTTGTTTTTTCATTGTCATTTCTTTCCATATATTTTTAAAATTTTTCCCTAATTGCCTGGTTGGCCCATTCATTCTTTAGTAGGGTGTTCTTTAACCTCCATGTTTTTGGAGGTTT